TCGCTCCGGGACACCCTCAGGCCACAGGTTTCGCCATGCAGGGTTAAGAGTCCTCCATGTCACTCTTTCCCAGTAGGCCTTTTCAATCAAACGTAAGGCGCCCAGGATATTGAAGTGCTCCTTCCAAATGCCTTTCAGGGTCCGGTCTGTAGTGTCTATCACACCCACAAACCTCTCCAAAAAGGTCTTCGTGTAGAGCTTCCTAAAGCTGGCAATGACTTTCTGGTCCATGGGTTGAAGGAGTAAAGGGGTGTTGGGAGAAAGATCAAAGCCAATCAAACTGCATCAACTGACTGATTGGCTGTAGACGACCGAGGACCCACGCCCTATGAGCAAGACTCAATGGCGGACACAGGCACACACACATACGCACTGGCAGCTCGTTAACTGGGCGGAAACTCGTCAATCGAAACACATTTTCTGACAGTGGTCCGCTCGTTACCTGACGTGCTCGTAGACGCGGCTACTCATCACCCAAGGTTCTCCTACATTCTAAAATAAGCTGCACTTCCCTAGTTACCTGGTAGCAGTGTACACCATAAAGTCGTATGGCGGAAAACGTGGTACCGATATGATATACCATTTGGTGCAGTAAGTTAGCGGCTGAGAGCTCAGTACGAAACGCATTGCCCGTGCGTATGCGCGTTATTATGGAATGGCACTATGGGTGATTGGTTCTGTTGGGCCCGTTTTTGCAGATAGTATGCAGAGAATTGAACAATGTCGTGTTAGGGCTTAGCACGTGCATGTATACAGTTCGGTCGGTGGGCTGACTTCACTTTAACTGTAAATTAATTTTCCTATACTTACTGCTTGGTGTCGTAAATTAAAAATTAAAAATGCAGAAGTTATGCGATACTGAGGACCTTCCATGACTTTTGATCAATCTTTTTAGTTAAAACACGCATCAACGACAGGATTTATTTGTACAAACAAATTTCGCGATGACTTTTCATTTGCTACTCGTCTTTGCATGAGATAGGTAACGAATGGGAGTATAAAAAATATGAATTTGCACAGAAATTAATGCATAACAACTAGGTTAATGTTCAACGCGGCGAATAATCAATCAATAATGTTGCCCACAAACTTGAATACAAGGAGGAAAAAGTGGGCAAGGAAGTTAACAAAATCAAAGGGTGATTAAATCTAGGTCCGTGATTACCCGGACGGTTGAAGACTAGCCACTTGATCTAACTGTTTACATTGCTCGGGTTTCTCCCGCCCTATATAGGCTGCTTCCAGGTAGCACAGGGTCCGGTTTGTTCGCGCCCAAACAAGTATTCGAAAAGACCTTCTGATGCCAGTGCAGTGACCACTGTCCAGCAGATGTTTTGTAATCAAGAACTGTGGTACTTTATCTTCTTGCTTGGAAAGCTAATTAGGCAAAGGCTGGGTGGCCCTTATACGGCAATAAAATTTGGCCATGCATGTCTTTGAATGCACGTATGTGCGAGTGGATCTGTGTACCATTTCCCAAATGTCGAACTTCATCACCGATCCAGTACAATGACCAGCGGTGATGCGCTGCAATGGCGTTCCATCCTCACCGCTCATGCTGATATGGGATATCGAGTTTAAAAATAAACAAGTTTACGACGTATTAGATAATAAATCTCTTGCATGACTTGGGAAAGCGTAGTAGTGCACTACGGAGAAGCCTGCTCCTCC